CCAATTGTAACCTTCTATGGTTAGAAATACCATTGGAGAATCTTATTGCTATGTTAGTGGTACGCGACGGGCTGAGTTTTTGAGATCATGAACCGCGGGTCAATCCCGCCGGATGTTATTGCATCGTGTCATACGATTTAAGTCAAGAGATAATGAAATTTTAAATAAAAATTATCAATTTTCTTGAACATATAGGGCATTATGTACAGGGATATCTATAATTAAAGTACAGTATTATCTGTTAAATTACAAAATCCAAGTAGCTTCATATAGAGTACATATAATTATAAATTATGAATGGAGAATATTAACAAATATTCAAAAACCTCTAGACTAATCTTATACATAAATTTTTACCTCACCTGACACTAATATGGTTAAACACTCCACATGACGTATAAACCAAGTAACTTCTCTTGAGGGAAAAACTCTGGCAACTAAGAGCTCGTTAAATTTTATAACAATCATTTACTCAGCTGTTTATAAACGAAACACATGAGAGAGGGAGCTAGGACATCAGTCATCTTAGTCAAAAAATTAAACGGAGTATTACTATTTAGGAGAGGTAGTGGCTAGGTGTATACATCCTGACCAGTGACAAAGTCAGAGCATTGCAAAGATAACTCACACATAGGAAAAAGAAACTTACGACGTTTCAGTCATCTTAAGTTTCTTTCTCCTATGTGTGGGTTATTTGTGTATTATTCAAGTCACAGTATTGTACCTTTTTATTTTTTGAAGTCAGAGCATACAACACCAAGTGACTCTGTAAACTCAAAGACCAGGAAGTATGATAGTTTTCTGAACAGAAACAAAATCAAAACACAAGGCAAGAAGAACGCTGCCAGGGTGCATTCATGACAACCTTTTAACCACTACACATCACACCTGTTAGTACAAGTATCTCAGGCTTAACTTGATCATGAGTTTCAGAGCAACCTCTAAGTACACTAGTAATTCAAAGATTTAAATTAACTTCAGAAGTGTCAGTGTTATCATTCCACTTGTATACCAGGTATTCAGAGGTCAGCTTACCCATTAGTTAGTAAATATTTAGGGGACCATAGGGTTAGCTGAAATTAGTCGCATCTTATAGAGGTAAACAACCTGAATGCAAGGATTTCAGAACTATGTTGTCAACCAGGCTCACATAACACCATCGAAAGTAGTGACTCGCACATGAGTGTGTCAGAGATTTAATTTCAATTCCAAGATTATGAAAGGAATGGTTCAACTTTAATATAAACGTTTCAGCAGATACAGCTTGCACACCAGTGTCAACACATTATAAAAACAACAACATAGTCAATAATATAATCACAGATAATAAGAAGCACTCGGTTTCCTCCACAATTGACGAGTATTACAACACAGTTCTACTTACCATGAGACTACACACTATCACACAAGCTTGTAAATAATGAATTAAAAATGCTAATGAAACTTCTCATAATTAATTCTTAGCATAGTGACAGTGCACAAGATAAGCTAGTAGAAGTGAGTCAGCCTATCCTCTAAAATCTGTTTCACAGGAAAATTAATACATAATGATTTGGTATATTTCTGCCTTTTTAAATAAGAATGTGTCTTTTGTACTTCAAGTTGGGCAACAAAGTTCACAGAGATGATAGAGCCATATCTCACTACTAGTCTCACCAGCAACTGAGACTTCGGCACTAAGCATGAAACATGAGATATAACAAACTCAGATTCTGTAAAAATCTAAGTACACAAAATCTCCCCAATAATCAAAGTGAAGAATGTAATGTGAGAGAGAGTTAGCTGTCTGTCTGGAGAGGCCTGCCTGCCTTCACAGCACTGCATAAGAGGTAATTTACTAGCAAGACGACTCCAAGATCAGGTAATAACCAGCTCACATTGACAGTTCACCTTCCAGCTATGAAATACTGGTGAGCAATTAATAAATTTGAAACAGCAACTTGCAGTTTGTACATTGCTCCAACCTCTCTGCACAGAATATACAAAATAAAATAAACATTTATGACAAGAAAATATATACACATAAAGAAAACAACCTAATATAATATGAAATACAGTAAGCCCTCTATTTAATGGACTAATTAGGGAAAACAGGAAGACAGTAATGGTAATTATGGTGGATACAGAAAATACACAGATAACCATTACATAGGTGAATTAAACTATGATGGTGTTTTGGTTTGTCTTGAACCATTAACTAATCACATGATACAGAAAATATTGTTTAGGTGTGATTGTAGCAATAATGAAAAATTCTGTGACCAAAGAACTTGGTCCACAGTTTCCAAATCTATTGACCCAGTAGATTTTGTTCTGTATTTCTGAAGTCCATTTAATGGAGGTCTTTTAAATGTAGGGTTTATTGTACCTAATCCTCCCAAAACATACACAATTATTTAAGCTAATATCATCATCATGGCCATGAATGATAATAAAATACTTGAAATAATACATCATATAATTCAGACTTGCCTCACAATATTTAAACAAATATAATAATGGTAAAGAGTACCATGGAACTACAAACAACAATAGAACAGGGTTCTGTTGTTTATTACAAGGACAACTTTTAAGTTACTCTTGTACCGTCAAAGATGGTACACAGAGGTCATTAATAAAATTCATAATAATAATAATAATTACCTTCAGCTCTCTATTCCCTCACCCACTGTTATGTTGCACAAAGGGAGGCTTATTGTTAACTAACACAACTGAGCATAGGGCTAACAGAGAAGTAGATGTGAGTGACCAACAGATTACTAAATGGCAACCACAGGACTAAAATGGTGAATATTCTCTGATTCTCACTTAGTCTTAGCTGAATATGTCACACCACCAGACAGGCAAGACCAGGCAACTGATTCAGAGGACCAGCACCAAAATTCCCATTTGGCCTTTATCCTCTCATCAAAATGTGTTGCCCACCTGAAAGCCATAACTCAAATGGTGAGTTATGTAGACTAAAGGAGCTGACAGGTAGGCATGCAAGGTAAACACGCAGGGCAGTGTTTAGTTTGGTCCATGCATATCATGGACACCTCAAAGGAGCTGATGTCCACTCAGTACAGCCATGACAACAACAACTGTAATGTGTCACTCAGCGTGTAAAAGACCCGACATAAGGGAAATCGGGATTAATCTTTTTATTTTATAAACACACTGGCTGTTTCCCACCAAGGGAGGGTGACCCGAAAAAAAAAGAAACACTTCCATCATCATTCGCTCTATCACTGTCTTGCCAGACGCATGCTTACACTACAGTTAAAAAACTGCAACATAACTCCACCCCTTCTTCAAAGTGCAGGCACATTCCTTTCTCGTATATGTAAAAATCTGTTAGACAAAACAAGAGAGCATCAACAAAATAAAATAGTAAAATAAAAAAATGGCAAAAAAAAAAAAAAAAAAATAGTAAAAACATATATTCTACCATGTCTGGAATAAGTTATGTTATCATAACTCTGTGTAACACACTGACCTTCATGTTCTCTCCCCCACCCTCTTGTACCATGTTAAGGAAGCTTCCTTAGTTGTAGTTTCTAGAGAAAATAAGAACATAAGGAAGGAACACTGCAGTAGGCATTCTGGCCCAAACTAGGCATGTCTTTCTTTAAACCAACCATTCCCACCCACCTACTTGTCCAGCCTTTACCCAAAGCTTCCTAAGAATTAGCTTCAATACCTCGGGTACTAATCAGACTCAGGCTTTCTCACTCATATATCTGTCCAGTTTCTTTTTAAAGCTACTCAAGATTGTTCCACACATCAGCAACTCTGAAAACCAGTACTTACCTATATAAGAACATAAGAACATAAGAAAGGAGGAACACTGCAGGAGGCCTGTTGGCCCATACTAGGCAGGTCCTTTACAATTCATCCCATAACAAAACATTTGCCTAACCCAATTTTCAATGCCACCCAAGAAATAAGCTCTGATGTGAAAGTCCCACTCAAATCCAACCCCTCCCACTCATGTACTTATCCAACCTAAATTTGAAACTACCCAAAGTCCCAGCCTCAATAACCCAACTAGGTAGACTGTTCCACTCATCTACTACCCTATTTCCAAACCAATACTTTCCTATGTCCTTTCTGAATCTAAACTTATCTAATTTAAATCCATTACTGCAGGTTCTCTCTTGGAGAGACATCCTCAAGACCTTATTAATATCCCCTTTATTAATACCTATCTTCCACTTATACACTTCGATCAGGTCTCCCCTCATTCTTCGTCTAACAAGTGAATGTAACTTAAGAGTCATCAATCTTTCTTCATAAGGAAGATTTCTAATCCTATGTATTAATTTAGTCATCCTACGCTGAATGTTTTCTAACGAATTTATGTCCATTCTGTAATATGGAGACCAGAACTGAGCTGCATAATCTAGGTGATGCCTTACTAATGATGTATAAAGCTGCAGTATTACCTCTGGACTTCTGTTGCTTACACTTCTTGATATAAATCCCAGTAATCTATTTGCCTTATTATGTACGCTTAGGCATTGCTGTCTTGGTTTAAGGTTGCTGCTCACCATAACCCCCAAGTCCTTTTCGCAATCTGTATGGCTAAGTTCTATATCATTTAACTTATAAGTACTAGGGTTATGGGCACTCCCAAGCTTCAGAACCTTGCATTTATCTACATTGAACTGCATCTGCCACTTTTCTGACCAAGAACAGTTTGTTTAAATCCTCCTGAAGTTCCATAACATCTACGTTTGAATCAATTATCCTATCTTTGTGTCATCGGCGAATTTGCTCATATCACTAGTAATTCCCTCATCAAGATCATTGATATATATTATAAACAACAACGGGCCCAAGACTGATCCCTGTGGAACGCCACCTGTTACAGATCCCCACTTGAATTTAACCCCATTTATGGACACTCTCTGCTTCCTGTCAGTGAGCCATGACTCGATCCACGAGAGCACTTTTCCCCCAATGCCATGAGCTGCCACTTTCTTTTAACAGTCATATGGTGCGGAACTCTATCAAAAGCCTTACTAAAATCTAAGTAAATAATATCAAATTCTTTATCGTGGTCAACAGCCTCAAAAGCTTTACTGAAGAAAGTTAATAAATTAGTTAGACAAGACCGGCCTCTTGTGAATTCATGCTGAGTATCATTAATCAAGCTATGCTTATCGAGATGGCTTCTTATAATCTCAGCTATAATTGACTCTAGTAATTTGCCTACAATTGAGGTCAGGCTTATTGGGCGGTAATTTGACGGTAACGACTTGTCCCTGTTTTAAAAATAGGAATTACATTAGCCATCTTCCACATATCAGACACTACACCTGTTTGAAGAGATAAATTAAAAATATTAGTTAATGGTTCACAGAGTTCCATTTTGCATTCCTTAAGAACCCTTGAAAAAACCTCATCACGACCCGGCAACTTATTTTGCTTCAGTCTGTCTATCTGCTTCACAACCATTTCACTAGTGACTGTGATGTTACATAATTTATCTTCTTCTAGCCCACTATAAAAATTAATTACTGGAATATTGTTAGTGTCTTCCTGTGTAAAAACTGAGAGAAAATAATTATTAAAAATCGAGCACATTTCATTATCTTTGTCAGTAAGGTGCCCATAGGTATTTTTAAGGGGACCTATCTTATCTCTAACTTTTGTTCTATAGACCTGGAAAAAACTTTTTGGGTTAGTTTTAGAATCCCTAGCAACTTTAATTTCATAGTCCCTTTTAGCTTTTCTTATCCCCTTTTTAATGTCCCTCTTAATGTCAATATACTGATTCATAAGATGACCCTCACCTCTTTTGATACGCCTATAAATTCCTTTCTTATGCCCTAGTAGATATTTGAGCCTATTATTCATCCATTTTGGGTCATTTCTATTTGATCTAATTTCTTTATATGGGATAAAAGTTCTTTGAGCAGCATGCATAGTGTTCAGAAAACTGTCATATTGATAGCTCACTTCGTTACCCCAGTCAACAGATGATAAGTGTTCTCTAAGCCCATCGTAATCTGCTAAGCAAAAATCTGGGACTGTTACTGAGTTATCGCTACTATCGTACTTCCATTCAATGCTAAATGTAATTGATTTGTGGTCGCTAGCACCCAGTTCCTCTGAAATTTCTAAATTATTAACAAGGGATTCATTGTTTGCCATAACTAAGTCAAGCAGGTTATTTCCCCTTGTAGGTTCTGTCACAAACTGCTTCAAAAAACAATCCTGAACTACTTCTAAGAAGTCGTATGATTCTAAATTCCCAGTCAAGAAATTCCAATCAATATGACTAAAGTTAAAGTCTCCTAGAATTACTACATTATCGTGCCTTGTGGCCTTAACAATTTCCTCCCATAGTAGTCTCCCTTGGTCCCTATCTAAGTTTGGGGGACGGTATATCACTCCTAAAATCAGTTTTTCATGCCCCTCTGAAAATTCTATCCAAACAGACTCTGTATGTGTTACTTCAGACTTAATACCCGTTTTTATGCAACAGTTCAAGCGATCTCGGACATACAATGCCACCCCACCCCCCTTCCCGATACTTCTATCTACTTGGAACAATTTAAAACCCTGAATATGACATTCCGCAGGCATGTCCCGACTTTTTGAATTAAACCACGTCTCAGTTAAGGCAAATACATCAATGTTACCTGCACTAGCAACTAATCTCAACTCGTCCATCTTATTCCTAGCACTACGGCAATTAGCATAATAAACATTGAAAGACTCTCCTTTCTAAATTTAAATTTTTCTAACTTAAATCCATTATTTCTGGTTCTAACTTAATTCAATATTCTCAGTACTTTATATTGCCTTTGTTCATGCCCATTATCCAAAAGTGTATCAGTCTGTAGTGGAAGGAAGGCAGAGTAGGGGTCGGCCTAGGAAAGGTTGGAGGGAGGGGGTAAAGGAGGTTTTGTGTGCGAGGGGCTTGGACTTCCAGCAGGCATGTGTGAGCGTGTTTGATAGGAGTGAATGGAGACAAATGGTTTTTAATACTTGACGTGCTGTTGGAGTGTGAGCAAAGTAACATTTATGAAGGGGTTCAGGGAAACCGGCAGGCCGGACTTGAGTCCTGGAGATGGGAAGTACAGTGCCTGCACTCTGAAGGAGGGGTGTTAATGTTGCAGTTTAAAAACTGTAGTGTAAAGCACCCCTCTGGCAAGACAGTGATGGAGTGAATGATGGTGAAAGTTTTTCTTTTTCGGGCCACCCTGCCTTGGTGGGAATCGGCCAGTGTGATAATAAAATAATAAAATATTTTAATTAGTATATCTCCTCTCATTCTATGTCTCTCAAGAGAGCATTACAATAAAACATTACAAATTCACATATAATGTAGACATTTGTTGACAAAATTACTGACCATATCCTCCTACTAAGTTCAGTAAAAATTTAATAGTTTCACTAGTATATTAACACGTGTTTTATTACATCTGAGATTTTAAAAAAACATATAAACACTGTTTGTTCCTTTTTAAGTTAAAAAAAAAAAAAGGAAATTTTGAAGCACTTTACACTATTAATAAATACAGTAGAACCCTCGTATCCACTAATTCAGTATCATCAGTTTCAGTTATCCATGGTTTACTGTGGCTCAAAAATACCTCTTGATTTTGCATAAGAATGCCCCCAAAACACAAAAGTAGAGAAGCTGACAGTTCTTCAAAGCCTAAGAGAAGTCATGAAGTGCTTCCCATCGGTGAAAAAGTGATAATTCTCCACTTATTGTGCATAATTTATTAATTAAACTTTATAATAGGTGTGTATAGGACTTATATACAGTGGACCCCCGACATTCGATGGCATCGACATTTGATAAATCCAATATTCGATGCATTTTAACGCAAAAATTTCGCCTCGACATTCGATCGAAAACCCGCTATTCGATACGATTCATACGAGACGTGTCCACGTGTGGCCTGAACTGCCCCGTGTGTGCCAGTGTTTACAAGCCAGCCAGTGTGCGTGCATCTAAGGATACATTCGGTACATTCCATATTATCCATATTATCACTGTTTTTGGTGCTTGTTTCTGCAAAATAAGTCACCATGGGCCCCAAGAAAGCTTCTAGTGCCAACCCTGTGGTAAAAAGGGTGAGAATTAGTATGGAAATTAAGAAAGATTTTGAAGGGTTTGGGGCTAACCCTGAGAAGCCTATGCCAGTTGTGGAATCCATTGTGCCTACTTCAAAGATTAAGGAAATGTGTGCAAAGTGGGTTGAACTGCAAACCTTTATGGATGAAAATCACCCTAACACAGCTATTGCAAGCTGTGCTGGTGACTATTACAATGACAATGTTGTGGCCCATTTTAGACAAATCTTAAAGGAACGGGAGGTACAGAGCTCTATGGACAGATATGTTGTGCGACAGAAATCCAGAGATTTCTGGTCCTAGTGGCATTAAAAGAAGGGATGTAACCCCGGAAAAAGACTTGATACCTCAAGTCCTGATGGAAGGGGATTCCCCTTCTAAACACTAACACCATCCACACTCTCCCCTCCTCCCATCCCATGAATCATCACCAGATCTTCATTAAAGGTAAGTGCCAATTATTCTATTGTTATTAATCTATTGTTATTGTTGTTATTGTAATTATTCTATTGCATTAAACTTAATACAGTTGACCCCCGCTTAACGATCACCTCCAAATGCGACCAATTATGTAAGTGTATTTATGTAAGTGCGTTTGTACGTGTATGTTTGGGGGTCTGAAATGGACTAATCTACTTCACAATATTCCTTATGGGAAAAAATTCGGTCAGTACTGGCACTTGAACATACTACTGGAATGAAAAAAGTTCGTTAACCGGGGGTCCACTGTATTTCATTTGGTAAAATTTTTTTTTTCATACTTTTGGGTGTCTTGCACGGAGTAATTTGATTTCCATTATTTCTCAAGGGAAAATTAATTCGACTTTCGATATTTTCGACATTCAATGAGCTCTCAGGAACGGATTAATATTGAATGTCGGGAGTCCACTGTATAGGGTCTGCTACTATCCGCAGTTTTGGTATCCACGGCAGGTCCTTGGAATGTATCCCCCATGGATACGGGGGTCCTACTGTATTCTCTTCTGTATGATCACATAGGTGGATTATTAAACTTAACGAAATGTTGCCAATAAAGGATCACATCATACCACATTTGAGTTACTTTTTCCTCATTTTCTGTAATTATGCATCGTTTTCTCAATCCTAATTTTTTCCACCACTTTCTTTCTGATATAGCTGTGGAAACACCTCACTATCAGGTTTTACCTTTTCTTAGAACTTTTTTTTTGGATAATGGGAACAATAATAATGTCTCACTCACTTTTATCCTAAAGGCTTTCAATCTCTCTAAACACTGTTATGGTTCCTCTCCTGTATGAGGTGACTAATTAGAGCTGATTTTTTTGAAAAAGTTTTTAGACACACTGAGCACACAAATGGTTTCTCCCCAGAATGAACTTTTGTGTGTATTATTAGATCTTTGTTTTGTGAAAAAGCTTTTAGACACTCTGAACACCTATATGGTTTCTCTCCAGTATGAATTCTTATGTGTGTTTTTAGATCAGATTTTTCTGAAAAGGCCTTTAGGCACTCTGAACACTTAAAAGGTTTTTCTCCAGTATGAACTCTTATGTGAATTGTTAGACTTGATTTTTGTGAAAATGCCTTTAGACACTCTGAACACTGATAAGGTTTCTCTCCTGTGTGAATTCTGAAGTGGGTGTTTAAATCTGATTTTCTGGAAAAGGATTTTAGACACACTGAACACTGATATGGCTTCTCTCCTGTATGAATTCTTGTGTGTTTTATTAGATCTGAGTTTTGTGTAAAAGCCATTATACACTCTGAACACTTATATGGCTTCTTTCCAGTATGAACTCTTGTGTGTTTTGTTAGATCTGATTTTCGTGAAAAGGCCTTCAGACACTCTGAACACTGATATGGTTTCTCTCCTGTATGAACTCTTACATGAGTGTTCAGATTTGACTTTCTTAAAAAGGATTTAAGACACACTGAACACTGATATGGTTTCTCTCCTGTATGAACTTTCAAGTGGGTATCTAGATTTGATTTTCTTAAAAATGATTTTAAACATACCGAACACTGATATGGTTTCTCTCCTGTGTGAATTCTCAGGTGTCTTGTGAGATCTGATTTTTGTGTAAAGGATTTCAGACACTTTAAACACTGATGTTGTTTCTTTCTAAAATGAACTCTCAGGTGAGTGGTTATATGTGATTTTTTTGAATTATTTTGACACATTTTCTTTTCTGTGTGAACTCTCATTTTTATTTTATATATTTAATATGCTATTATAAATATATTAAATATTAACATGTTAGTCATAATCTAGGTTAGAATCCAATGACAATTTCAGCATATATGTATAATCTACTCAGTATAACACATACTTTATTATTTATATTCTATAATTTAGATTGCAAATACAGTATTAATTTTGGTTATTTTATTGCTCAAGGTACATATAAATGCAATGAACTGCAGCCTTTATTAACATTCTTAAGATACTTTCAAAATATTTAGGCTTTCCTATATGAGCTCTCAAATGTAATATACCAAGATTGTGTATTTATTTTTAAACATTGAACACTGATATTATTTTTTGTACACTTATTCTCTTACTTCATTTAGTCTCATATTAAACAAACGTTCACTTTAACAAAGGTGAGATCTTACGAACATGATGTTACACTTGTTTGTGGGTATGAATGTTAATGGAGCTCCTGTCTAGAATGTTCAGTCTGTCCTTTACTAGTGTTTGATTTGTGACAGCAGGTAGTGCTAGTGTGAGGTTACTAGTACACTGTTGGTACTGTGTCCAGAAGTAGCAATGGGTATTATTAATGAGGTTACTAGTATACTGCTAGTACTTTATATTATTTCACTAGTTTCCAAAATGAATTCCATAAGGCCATTTATTCTTAAGGCATTTAAAAGTCAGTCTTAAAGGTAGTATAGTGTACATTATGTGCCACACTGATGGAACTATATAACTGCAGTATTTCTGACACAAACTTTTAAATCACTGCATGTTGACATGTGTCATTCTTGTGCTGACAGTACCACCCTGTAAAACAAAACAATCACACATTAAATGTGTCATTCTTGTGCTGACAGTATCACCCTACATAATAAAACAATCACACATAACCACAACTTTAACTTTTTTTTTTGTATACTTTTTTACACAAATCAGTTTTACAGCCTACAAGTTATCCTACCTCAGTTCATTTCTAAGCTATAATGCCACGCACCTTCCCAGGAAGTTATCTCCAAAAGTTGATGAACACCCGGGTACTTACTGCTAGGTGAACAGGGGCAGCAGGTGTAAAAAAAAAAAATGCCCATTTCCACCCATGCCAGGGATTGAACCACAGACACTTAGTTTGCTGCAAAGACAATCATGTTGTTTATATGATTATTATGGTTATTACTATTATTATTACTATGATGATAACAGCAGACTGTCAATTAAGACACAATTTTCAATGACATTTCTGCTGTATGACAGTTGAAGAATTGCAGCAGTTTTTCAATCATGATGGTTAAAAGCCTGTACAAGAAGACTAGTACCCGCTAATTTCACTGTAACTACACACTGCTGTGCCATTAAAAGTAATTCACTTATTCTAGCTGTATTTACACAAATGTCGAATACTTCAATTAAACCATGGTAAACACACTTTGTTTCACTAAAATCACAACTACAATACTGGAAGGAGACAACTGTGGCTGAAATGTATCTGTTCCTTGCCACAATAATGCTTATGCCACATGTGTATAAACACAATATCAAATCATAGTGATCCACATACTACCTAATTTCAACCCTGGCTTTCAGTGATATTATGCCAGTGAACTGATTAGTCTTACTGTTACATATGCTACACTTCTCAGACAAAACAAGGCCTGACAGGTTATACACGATTAGGACTGTTAATGCATCTAAACAAAAGTTCAGATATGTATTTTTATCCCTTCAGGATTATTAAGGTATATAGACAGACTGGTTATAAATGACCATAATTTTTAAAGGGGTGGACCGGTAAGCCAGCGGAAGGCCTCGGTCAGATGACCAAAAGCTCCAAAGGCGGGTCATCATCTGACTAAGACCCGCGTCAGGAAACATTTGTCCTGTTTCCTGACGAACCTTACCTAACCTAACCTATCCCTTCAGGAAGCTTGTTACTGATGAGTCTTTGTTTCTCTTCAAAGGTAGACTGTCATTCAAGCAGTGTATACCAAGTAAGTGGAAATGCTTTGATATCAAGTTATTTGTGCTTTGTGATTGTGACAGTGGTCCTGTATTGGTTATAAATATATACACCGGAAGTAAATCACTGGAAGATACCAGGAAGTTATTGGGTATCTTGATGATGTGGTTGGAACCATTATATACTGATAACTGGTACACAACCCTGTTACTCAGTGATTTCTTGTGAGTGAACATGACAGTTGTGTGCAGTACAGTATGTGGAAATCATAAACATATACTACTAAGATTCAATGCAGGCATTTATAGTGGTGAGATGCAGGTGTTTATACCTGGAGTATACCTGGAGAGAGTACCAGGGGTCAACACCCCAGTGGCCTGGTCTGTGACCAGGACTCATGGTGGATCAGGGCCTGATCAACCAGGCTGTTACAAACCACAAACGACATACAAACCACAGCCCAGCTGGTCAGGTACTGACTTTAGGTGCTTGTCCAGTGCCTGCTTGAAGACAGCCAGGGGTCTATTGGTATCCCTCTTATGTATGCTGGGAGGCAGTTGAACAGTCTTGGGCCCCTGACACTTATTGTGTTGTTTCTTATCGTGCTAGTGACACCCCTGCTTTTCATTGGGGTGATGTTGCATCGTCTGCCAAGTCTTTTGCTTTCATAGGAAGTGATTTTCGTGTGTAAGTTTGGTACTAATCCCTCTAGGATTTTCCAAGTGTATATAATTAAGTATCTCTCCCGCATGCATTTTAGGGAGTACAGGTTGAGGAACTTCAAGTGTTCCCAGTAACTGAGGTGTTTTATTGCAGTTATGCATGCCGTGAAGGTTCCCTGTACATTTTCCATTACATTATGGTGGCATGACAAACAAGATGTCACATTGTTGACATCCATTCACTATAACGAAATGACAGTGGCAAGGTGGATAGAGTGACCAATGAACCTATTCTAAAACCTGTGACCATGGTTGACTACACAAAGTATGTGTTTGGTGTACAAATGTGACATACAAGTTGGGTTTGCCAAATATGTTGGCAAGAGCTGTAAGCAGTACATGAAACTCTTTCTTCTTCCATCTCATGGACATTTAAATACTCAATGCATATAATATGTACCAAATGTAGACAAGCAACAGACCACTGTCTGGTGAAATTACGTTTGTCTATCATCAGACAACTAATATTCAAGTACCAGGTCACAACACCTGCAATACAAAACCGTGTACAAACTGACCATCAATTGTCCACTTGTTAAGTACTTTTTCTCTTTCAGTTGTGACCTGACGCTGACTCAGGGCCGACCGTTATCTTGTTAAAAAGTTTCCTAAGTGCAGGTTATTTGTGAAGTGTTCCAAGCAAAGTGCTGTGTCTAATTCAACTTGCAAAATATTTACATTATTCCCAGTTAAAAATTCAGCAATAATTTATGTAATAAAACTGTGGCTCATAACCTGGGCAAGAGGACTGAAGAACCACAATGGAAATATGCCACACTACTTGGCTATCTTGGTTATCCTGGGTTATTAACTCCCTTGGGTTACTAACCTATCTGGGTTAATAACCTTCCTAGGTCACTAACTTTCCTGGAATACTAACCCTAATGGGTTACGAACCCTCCTGGGTCACTAACAAAACTGGATCACTAACCCTCCTGGGTTACTAACCCATCTAGGTAAATAACTCTCCTAGGTAACTAACTCTCTTGGATCACTAACCCTCCTGGGTTACTAACCCATCTGGGTCAATAACCCTCCTGGGTTAATAACCCTCCTGCATCACTAACCCTCCTGCATCACTAACCCTCCTGGGTTACTAACCCATCTGCATCAATAACCCTCCTGGATTATTAACCCTCCTGGATCACTAACTTTCCTGGGTTACTAACCCTCCTGGATCACTAACCCTCCTGGATCACTATCCCTCCTGGGTTATGCACCCTCCTGGATAAGTAACCCTCCTGGATCACTAACCCTCCTGGATCACTAACCCTTCTGGATCACTAACCCTCCTGGATCACTAACCCTTCTGGATCACTAACCCTCCTGGGTTATGAACCCTCCTGGGTTACTAATCCTCCTGGGTTACTAACCCTCCTGGATCATTAACCCTCCTGAGTTACTAACCCTCCTGGATTACTAACCCTATGGGTTCCCAATCCTCCTGGATCACTAAACCTCCTGGGCTAGTAACCCTCCTGGATCAATAACCCTCCTGGGTTACTAACCCTCCTGGATCACTAATCCTCCTGAATCACTAACCCTCCTGGGTAACTAACACTCTGGATCACTAACTGTCCTGGGTTACTAATCCTCCTGGGTTACTAACCCTCCTGGATCATTAGCCCTCCTAGGTTACTAACCCTCCTGGATCACTAACCCTCCTGGGTTACTAACAGTCACAGACCACTAACCCTCCTGGGTTACTAACACTCATGGAACACTAACCCTCCTGGGTTACTAACCTTCCTGGATCACTAACCCTCCTGGGTTACTAACCCTCCTGGATCACTAACCCTCCTGGATCACTAACCCACCTGTGTTACTAACGGTGGCCTGGTGGCTAAAGCTCCCGCTTCACACACGGAGGGCCCGGGTTCGATTCCCGGCGGGTGGAAACATTTCGACACGTTTCCTTACACCTGTTGTCCTGTTCACCTAGCAGCAAATAGGTACCTGGGTGTTAGTCGACTGGTGTGGGTCGCATCCTGGGGGACAATATTAAGGACCCCAATGGAAATAAGTTAGACAGTCCTCGATGACGCACTGATTTTCTTGGGTTATCCTGGGTGGCTAACCCTCCGGGGTTAAAAATCCGAACGAAATCTTATCTTATCTTATCTTAACCCTCCTGGATCACTAACCCTCCTGGGTTACTAACCCTCCTGGATCACTAACCCTCCTGAATCACTAACCCTCCTGGGTTACTAACCCTCCTGGGTTACTAACACTCCTGGATCACTAATCTTCCTGGGTTACTAACCCTCCTGGGTTATTAACCCTCCTGGATCACTAACACTCCTGGATCACTAACCCTTCTGGATCACTAACCCTCCTGGGTTACTAGCCCTCCTGGGTTACTAACCCTCCTGGGTTACTAACCCTCCTGGGTTACTAACCCTCCTGGTTTACTAACACTCCTGGGTTACTAACCCTCCTGGGTTACTAACACTCCTGGATCACTAACCATCCTGGGATACTAACCCTCCTGGGTTACTAACCCTCCTGGGTTACTAACCCTCCTGGTTTACTAACACTCCTGGGTTACTAACCCTCCTGGGTTACTAACACTCCTGGATCACTAACCCTCCTGGGTTACTAACCCTCCTGGGTTACTAACCCTCCTGGATCACTAACCCTCCTGGGTTGCTAACACTCCTGGATCACTAACCCTCCTGGGTTACTAACACTCCTGGGTTACTAACCCTCCTGGGTTACTAACACTCCTGGATCACTAACCCTCCTGGGTTACTAACCCTCCTGGGTTACTAACCCTCAGTAACCCTCCTGGGTTACTAACCCTCAGTAACCCTCCTGGGTTACTAACCCTCCTGGGTAACTAACACTCCTGGATCACTAAACCTCCTGGGTTACTAACATTCCTGGGTTACTAACCCTCCTGGGTTACTAACCCTCCTGGGTTACTAACCCTCCTGAATCACTAATCCTGGATCATTAACCCTCTTGGGTTACTAACACTCCTGGATCACTAACCCTCCTGGTTTACTAACCCTCCTGGGTTACTAACCCTCCTGGATCACTAACCCTCCTGGGTTACTAACCCTCCTGGATCACTAACCCTCCTGAATCACTAACCCTCCTGGGTTACTAACCCTCCTGGGTTACTAACACTCCTGGATCACTAACCCTCCTGGGTTACTAACCCTCCTGGGTTACTAGCCCTCCTGGGTTACTAACACTCCTGGATCACTAACCCTCCTGGGTTACTAACCCTCCTGGGTTACTAACCCTCCTGGGTTACTAACCCTACTGGGTTACTAACCCTCCTGGGTTACTAACACTCCTGGATCACTAACCCTCCTGGGTTACTAACCCTCCTGGGTTACTAACCCTCCTGGATCACTAACCCTCCTGGGTTGCTAACACTCCTGGATCACTAACCCTCCTGGGTTACTAACACTCCTGGGTTACTAACCCTCCTGGGTTACTAACACTCCTGGATCACTAACCCTCCTGGGTTACTAGCCCTCCTGGGTTACTAACACTCCTGGGTTACTAACACTCCTGGATCACTAAACCTCCTGGGTTACTAACACTCCTGGGTTACTAACCCTCCTGGGTTACTAACACTCCTGGAACACTAACCCTCCTGGGTTACTAACACTCCTGGGTTACTAACCCTCCTGGGTTACTAACTCTGCTGGATCACTAACCCTCCTGGGTTACTAACCCTCCTGGGTTACTAACCCTCCTGGATCACTAATCCTGGATCACTAACCCTCTTGGGTTACTAACACTCCTGGATCACTAACCCTCCTGGGTTACTAACCCTCCTGGGTTACTAACCCTCCTGGGTTACTAACCCTCCTGGATCACTAACCCTCCTGGATCACTAACCCTCCTTTATCACTAACCCTCCTGGGTTACTAACACTCCTGGATCACTAACCCTCCTGGGTTACTAACCCTCCTGGGTTACTAACCCTCCTGGGTTACTAACCCTACTGGATCACTAACCCTCCTGGGTTACTAACCCTCCTGGATCACTAACCCTCCTGGGTTACTAACCCTCCTGGATCACTAACCCTCCTGGGTTACTAACCCTCCTGGATCACTAACCCTCGTGGGTTACTAACCCTCCTGGATCACTAACCCTCCTGGGTTACTAACCCTCCTGGGTTACTAACACTCCTGGATCACTAACCCTCCTGGGTTACTAACCCTCCTGGGTTACTAACCCTCCTGGATCACTAACCCTCCTGGATCACTAACCCTCCTGGGTTACTAACACTCCTGGATCACTAACCCTCCTTGGTTACTAACCCTCCTGGATCACTAACCCTCCTGGGTTACTAACCCTCCTGGATCACTAACCCTCCTGGATCACTAACCCTCCTGGGTTACTAACACTCCTGAATCACTAACACTATTGGATCACTAACCCTCCTGGATCACTAACCCTCCTGGGTTACTTACCCTCCTGGGTTACTAACACTCCTGGATCACTAACACTATTGGATCACTAACCCTCCTGGATCACTAACCCTCCTGGGTTACTAACCCTCCTTTATCACTAACCCTCCTGGATCACTAACCCTCCTGGGTTACTAACACTCCTGAATCACTAGCCCTCCTGGGTTACTAACCCTCCTGGCTCACTAACCCTCCTGGATCACTAACCCTCCTGGGTTACTGACACTCCTGAATCACTAGCTCTCCTGGGTTACTAACCCTCCTGGGTTACTAACACTCCTGGATCACTAGCCCTCCTGGGTTACTAACCCTCCTGGGTTACTAACACTCCTGGATCACTAGCCCTCCTGGGTTACTGACACTCCTGGATCACTAACCCTCCTGAATCACTAACCCTCCTGGGTTACTAACACTCCTGGGTTACTAACACTCCTGGATCACTAACACTCCTGGATCACTAACACTCCTGGATCACTAGCCCTCCTGGGTTACTGACACTCCTGGATCACTAACCCTCCTGAATCACTAACCCTCCTGGGTTACTAACACTCCTGGATCACTAACCCTCCTGGATGACTAACACTCCTGGATCACTAACACTCCTGGATGACTAACACTCCTGGATCACTAACCCTCCTGGGTTACTAACACTCCTGGATCACTAACACTCCTGGATCACTAACACTCCTGGATCACTAACCCTCCTGGGTTACTGACACTCCTGGATCACTAACCCTCCTGAATCACTAACCCTCCTGGGTTACTAACACTCCTGGATCACTAACCCTCCTGGATCACTAACACTCCTGGATCACTAACACTCCTGGATCACTAACACTCCTGGATCATTAACCCTCCTGGATCACTAACCCTCCTGGGTTACTAACACTCCTGGGTTACTAACACTCCTGGATCACTAACACTCCTGGATCATTAACCCTCCTGGATCACTAACCCTCCTGGGTTACCAACACTCCTGGATCACTAACCCTCCTGGATCACTAACCCTCCTGGATCACTAACACTCCTGGATGATTAACCCTCCTGGATCATTAACCCTCCTGGATCACTAACACTCCTGGATCATTAACCCTCCTGGATCACTAACACTCCTGGGTTACTAACACTCCTGGATCACTAACCCTCCTGGATCACTAACACTCCTGGATCATTAACCCTCCTGGATCACTAACACTCCTGGTTACTAAACACTCCTGGATCACTAACACTCACTGGATCACTAACACTCCTGAGATCATTAACCCTCCTGGATCACTAACACTCCTGGATCACTAACACTCCTGGATCACTAACACTCCTGGATCACTAACACTCCTGGATCACTAACCCTCCTGGGTTACTAACACTCCTGGGTTACTAACACTCCTGGATCACTAACACTCCTGGATCACTAACACTCCTGGATCACTAACACTCCTGGATCATTAACCCTCCTGGATCACTAACCCTCCTGGGTTACTAACACTCCTGGGTTACTAACACTCCTGGATCACTAACACTCCTGGATCATTAACCCTCCTGGATCACTAACCCTCCTGGGTTACTAACACTCCTGGATCACTAACCCTCCTGGATCACTAACCCTCCTGGATCACTAACACTCCTGGATCATTAACCCTCCTGGATCATTAACCCTCCTGGATCACTAACACTCCTGGATCATTAACCCTCCTGGATCACTAACACTCCTGGGTTACTAACACTCCTGGATCACTAACCCTCCTGGATCACTAACACTCCTGGATCATTAACCCTCCTGGATCACTAACACTCCTGGGTTACTAACACTCCTGGATCACTAACACTCCTGGATCACTAACACTCCTGGATCATTAACCCTCCTGGATCACTAACACTCCTGGATCACTAACACTCCTGGATCACTAACACTCCTGGATCACTAACACTCCTGGATCACTAACACTCCTGGATCACTAACCCTCCTGGGTTACTAACACTCCTGGGTTACTAACACTCCTGGATCACTAACACTCCTGGATCACTAACACTCCTGGATCACTAACACTCCTGGATCACTAACACTCCTGGATCACTAACACTCCTGGATCACTAACACTCCTGGGTTACTAACACTCCTGGATCACTAACACTCCTGGATCACTAACACTCCTGGATCACTAACACTCCTGGATCACTAACCCTCCTGGATCACTAACACTCCTGGTTACTAACACTCCTGATCACTAACACTCCTGGATCACTATCCCTCCTGGATCACTAACACTCCTGGATCACTAACACTCCTGGATCACTAACCCTCCTGGATCACTAACACTCCTGGGTTACTAACACTCCTGGATCACTAACACTCCTGGATCACTATCCCTCCTGGATCACTAACACTCCTGGATCACTAACACTCCTGGATCACTAACACTCCTGGATCACTATCCCTCCTGGATCACTAACACTCCTGGATCACTAACACTCCTGGATCACTAACCCTCCTGGATCACTAACACTCCTGGATCACTAACACTCCTGGATCACTAACACTCCTGGATCACTAACACTCCTGGATCACTAACACTCCTGGATGACTAACACTCCTGGATCACTAACACTCCTGGATCACTAACACTCCTGGATCACTAACACTCCTGGATCACTAGCCCTCCTGGGTTACCAACACTCCTGGATCACTAACACTCCTGGATCACTAACACTCCTGGATGACTAACACTCCTGGATCACTAGCCCTCCTGGGTTACCAACACTCCTGGATCACTAACACTTCTGGATCACTAACACTCCTGGATCACTAACCCTCCTGGGTTACTAACACTCCTGGATCACTAACACTCCTGGATGACTAACACTCCTGGATCACTAGCCCTCCTGGATGACTAACACTCCTGGATCACTAGCCCTCCTGGGTTACCAACACTCCTGGATCACTAACACTTCTGGATCACTAACACTCCTGGATCACTAACCCTCCTGGGTTACTAACACTCCTGGGCTACTAACACTCCTGGATCACTAGCCCTCCTGGGTTACTAACACTCCTGGATCACTAACACTCCTGGATCACTAACACTCCTGGATCACTAACCCTCCTGAGTAAATCGTCTTGTAATGGGTTGACTGAGTCAACACAACAAAATATCTCAATATCCACGTTTTTCAGCTTGACCGCGAAGTTGCTTTTAATCAAAGAACTGTCCCACTTACTTCACGTTTCTGTCTTCCCACCAAACATTACAATTCTACGTCCTGTAATGGAGATAATACACAAAACTTGTGGTATAACGTCAATCTTGGAAGGTAATGTTGTGGTTGTTACTCCGGGCCACCATAACTGACGCCTTAGTCAGTCCTCCTAGCAGGGAAGCTTAGATAAGATATCTTTCGGGTTTTTTTACCCCGAAGGGTTAGCCACCAAGAATAGCCCAAGAAAGGCAGTGCGTCATCGAGGGACTGTCTGTCTTATTTCCACTGTGGTCCTGAATCTTGTCCCCCAGGATGCCACTAACACCCAGGTATCTACTTGCTTGTTAGGTGAATGGGAAAGCAGGTGTAAGGAAACACACCCTATATTGCTACCTTTGCCAGGACTTGAACCACGGATACTCTGCGTGAAGCAAGTTTTGCCCACCAGGCCACGGATCACCGTGAACTTGTGCAATGAGTCATGTGCACCCTTAGGCAACACTTGGGAATCTTTATCCTGGAAACATTTCGCCAGTCAATGGCTTCCTAAGTCCAGTGCAGAAAAACAGTGGAAGATGAGGAGGAGCTGAGGTAATCAGCCCCTCAGCCTGGAGTCGATGTGTTCAGTCCATCAGTCTTGGTGAAAGTGCAGCATTTTGTTGTTGTTGAATGTTCGCCAGGACATGTGTCCTGGCGAACATTCTTGAAGATAAAGGGTACAGTCGAAACTGCGTCTGCCTGGTGTTCCCTATGGACGTGGCGAGTCATGATCGATGTCTTCAGTATTGTCACAGCAAGATGATCGTGGTCGCAGCTGCACTGACGTGGGCACTTTCTCTCAACTAGTCGGTGTCTTAACGTTCTCTGGGTTCTGGAGCCGGTGGAGAAGCCGTAGTCACCTTGACAACTCCCATCTGCAGTCACTTACCTGGTAGTGTTTGTCGTTTCAGACGCAACAGTCTTCGTTGGGAGTGCCCCAGCCACAATTACCGGCCTCACGGGGCTCGTCTGCAGTGATGTAGCAGTTAGCTACTGTCGATGTCTTCATTACCATAGTGTGTGTTCACCACATTTTTCTGATTCTGCCTCTTACCCTGCCCCCCACTGGGCTTGAAGGGCGTAGCAGATACGATGGTGCAGCAGATGGTGTCGTTCTGTGAGTATACAACATTACAGGCCCCTTTTGGAGCCACACCCCAACTTTGGGTTGTAACCCAAGCACTGGGGAGGCTCAGGAGATCCTCTTGTTGTGTGTTGTCTGCTGCTTTTATATGTATGTAGCAGGTAGATTCTTCAGGAAACAGGACAAGTGCTTCCTGACGCAGGTCTTAGTCATATGATGACCTGCAGCTGGAGCTCTTGGTCATCTGACTGAGGCCTTCTGCTGGCTTACTGGTCCACCCCCTTGAGGTGGAGCAGTGGCAGGCGGAAACTCTACTAGTAGAAATAGGTCGGGACTATAGGTTAGGCAACCTTTGAAGAATTCCCGTCTACCACTGCTCCACTTCATCTGTCGGCAGTATATAAGCCCCTTCTCTGCGTACCAATAAATGGTCATAATCAAAACCATAATTTTAGAGGGGTGGACCGGTAAGCCAGGGAAATGCCTCAGTCAGATGACTAAAAGCTGCGGGTCATCATATGACCAAGATTTGAGCCAGGAAATACTTGCCCTGTTTCCTGACAAACTTTACCTAATCTAACATAATATGCTGCACTCTTACTAAGAACGAGGACTAAACCAATCGACTCCATGGAGTTTTGCTCCATTGAGTAAAACTCTTCTCCAGGCTGAGGGACTGACCTCCTCAAAACTACGTCTTCAAGTGTGATGGCTAATTGCATCGTTTTCACATCTCTTGTTTCTGCTAACTCTTCTGTACTCGACTGATGAAGCCTATGTGTAGGTATAACGCCTTATCAGCCTGTCAGTATTGTAAACCATTTTCATATTGACAGCAATACTTTCATCAACAAGAAAGACAGCCAATAACAAAGTGCTCAATTACAAAACTTTACATATTGTTTAAACAGATTCACTGGTCTTCAGTTTTATGCAGTGACTGAATATAGTCAAACCAGAGCAAGTAGCTTAAATTACCTGGGGTATACCTAGAAAGGGTTTCGGGGGTCAACGCCCCCCGCTGCCCGGTCTGTGACCAGGCCTGATGGAACAATGTATGTTAGCACTTATATATGGGAGTTGAATGAAGGTTGGAAGAAGAACAGGGACACAAGTGGATGAAGATTGGTATTATTTGACTAGCGCATTGTTGTCTGGATTACATTAAGATGGAGTGCTCTTTAGCAGTAGCCTTGAACGACTGGCAGACAGGAAACCTTCAGAGACTTCAGGTAGGGAGTTCCATTATTACTGTAATAAAAAAGAAGCGCTAAACCTACAAGGGCCATACAGCGAAGGCATGGAGTTTCAGATTTAAGGGCCTTTTATAAAGCCCACTGAGTTTTTACACAAGTTTAGTCGGACACGGGGGATATCAAAGAGGATTTTGTCTTGTGTTATGTTTGTGTGTTCTGTTGCAGCTGTCAAGATTTTCAGAGGAGGGTTTATGTATATTGGAAATAATTGTCCAGTATATATAGTAAGCACGGTTTTATGAACTCGGTTACTAGCGCATTCAGCTCACAATGAGATCCGTGGTTCGATCCCAGATATGAGTGGAAACACTAGGGACGTGTTTCCTTAAGATACCTGCTGTCCATATTCATGTAGCAGTATATAGGTACCTGGGTGCTAGTCAACTGGTGTGGTCGCATCCTGCGACAAAATTAACATATTTTACCCGAAATGCTCTGTTTAAATAGTATGTCATTGATGCCAGCTATGATTTATACACGTTGTATACGTACTTGTAGAAATAGATAAAACCCACCTTAGATCAGGTGTACGTTTCCTTACACCTGTTGTCCTGTTCACCTAACAGCAAATAGGTACCTGGGCGCTAGTCGACTGGTGTGGGTCGCATCCTGGGGGACAAGATTAAGGACCCCAATGGAAATAAGTTAGACAGTCCTCGATGACGCACTGACTTTCTTGGGTTATCCTGGGTGGCTAACCCTCCAGGGTTAAAAATCCAAACGAAATCTTATCTTAAGGAGAGAGCAGGGAAGTGGTCACAGATGATCACTGGAACATTCCTCGGTAGTATAGTGGAGAGTATCCCCGCCTGTCACGCGGGACACCGGGGTTCGATTCCCCGCAGGGGAGTAAGGCTTTTTGACTAGATGAATAATTTTTTTTATAGAGGAGATTGCAGCTAAATTATGACCGATATTTTTTTAGTGATAAGTTAATTTAATACCCTTATTATGCATCCCATACTGATCCTGTGGGTGGTAGTTGAAAGATTACCGAGGCACATAATGGGTCCAGGGACTGTACCTCAGCATTACAGATAAATACAAGGCAGGTGAGGATTTTCTTGGTGATTCCATCCTGATGGACGGATGATGAATCCATAACATTCGAGGCACGTTAACTAGGCTGTTAGCCAACTTGAAATATTTTTTTGGTATCGGCTTGGAGAAGTGTAATAGCAGTGCACTTATGCATCACTGGAGGTCTGATGTTTCTTCTGGGACCTAATTCATGTCTCCATAAATAACTCATTACGATTGTACCCAGATATTAACATGTACGTAGTTTATTACCATTGTAACTTGTTCTGTTATCAAAACTTTGCGGTAGAGTCCCTGGACACATTATGTACCTGGAGTATACTTCTGTAATTTTTAGACTTCCTCACACAGAATCATAATAATAATTAATAATAATAATAATAATAATAATAATAATAATAATAATAATAACCTGGAGTTTACCTGGAGAGAGTTTCGGGGGTCAACGCCCCCGCGGCCCGGTCTGTGACCAGGCCTCCTGGTGGATCAGCGCCTGATCAACCAGGCTGTTGCTGCTGGCTGCACGCAAACCAACGTACGAGCCACAGCCCGGCTGATCAGGAACTGACTTTAGGTGCTTGTCCAGTGCCAGCTTGAAGACTGCCAGGGGTCTGTTGGTAATCCCCCTTATGTGTGCTGGGAGGCAGTTGAACAGTCTCGGGCCCCTGACACTTATTGTATGGTCTCTTAACGTGCTAGTGACACCCCTGCTTTTCATTGGGGGGATGGTGCATCGTCTGCCAAGTCTTTTGCTTTCGTAGTGAGTGATTTTCGTGTGCAAGTTCGGTACTAGTCCCTCTAGGATTTTCCAGGTGTATATAATCATGTATCTCTCCCTCCTGCGTTCCAGGGAATACAGGTTTAGAAACCTCAAGCGCTCCCAGTAATTGAGGTGTTTTATCTCCGTTATGCGCACCGTGAAAATTCTCTGTACATTTTCTAGGTCGGCAATTTCACCTGCCTTGAAAGGTGCTGTTAGAGTGCAGCAATATTCCAGCCTAGATAGAACAAGTGACCTGAAGAGTGTCATCATGGGCTTGGCCTCCCTAGTTTTTGAAGGTTCTCATTATCCATCCTGTCATTTTTCTAGCAGATGCGATTGATACAATGTTATGGTCCTTGAAGGTGAGATCCTCCGACATAATCACTCCCAGGTCTTTGACGTTGGTGTTTCGCTCTATTTTGTGGCCAGAATTTGTTTTGTACTCTGATGAAGATTTAATTTCCTCATGTTTACCATATCTGAGTAATTGAAATTTCTCATCGTTGAACTTCATATTGTTTTCTGCAGCCCACTGAAAGATTTGGTTGATGTCCGCCTGGAGCCTTGCAGTGTCTGCAATGGAAGACACTGTCATGCAGATTCGGGTGTCATCTGCAAAGGAAGACACGGTGCTGTGGCTGACATCCTTGTCTATGTCGGATATGAGGATGAGGAACAAGATAACATAATATAATAATAACATAATATAATAATCTTTATTTACTACCAGTACATGTACAAGGTATACAGACCATAGCTGACATCAATGACATACTACTATATAGAAAGCCGCTTGTTATGTAGAGCATTTCCCGCAAATTAGGTCAACTTTTGTCCTCAGGAAGCGACCCACACCAGTCCACTAACAGGGACAGCCGGTGTCTTAAGGAAACACATAATGATGTTTCTACCCGAACCAGAGATTGAACCACAGACCTTAGTGTGTGAGCTGAGTGCCCCAGGAATTAAACTGGGTATGGGGTGCATAATAAAGATAAATTAAAATTCTGGGATTCATTTTCTCAGTAGCGATGACCTTCAACATGGAACATCTGGCAGCAAGAGTGTGGTGGTCACCTTTACAATTTAGGCTGATCAGCTTTGGGACATTAAGAAGGTGTGTGGCATCACTAACTGCATATAGAGCAGAGCTTCTTATTCTTGAGGAAGCAATCCTTAGTGGTGTGGGTATAGAAGAAGCAGGTCTAACATGAATTGATCAGGTAGTAGTGCACAGGCTCGATGTTGCATGAGTCGAAATAGTAGTAGGGGATACACAGTCCATCTTTATGACCACTACCTAGTGAGATCCTCTGACATTATCACTCCTAGGTCCTTCGCATTAGTTTTTCGCTCCATTGTGTGGTTGGAATTTGTTTAATACTCCGATAAAATTGT